ATAAAAAATAAAAGAATACAAAAATAAAAAATAAAAAATAAAAAATAAAAAATAAAAAATAAATAAAAAAAATAAATTTAAAAAATTTAAAAAATTAAAAAATTAAAAAATTAAAAAATAAAAAAATAAAAAATAGTATAGCGACTTAGAGTAGTGGTTAAGTTGTCATCCCCCAAGCAGCAGGTCTAGAGTTTGAATCTTATCAGAGACATTTGTAATAATAATATTCTAATCTGTTGGGAATTAGTGGAAATAAAATTTCTGCATATTCATATATGATTAGGGTATTATTAATTAATACTCCTGTGATCTTGATATAGTAATCAAGATATTATTAGAAAAATAGACCTGTATACTGGTAACAATTATTCTACGATTGGTTGGGTATATCACCTATAATCTTGGTATTACCATTTCATTATAAAAGCTCTTGGGCGATCCAAAATTCAAGGAACCAGAATAATTGAAATCTGTTTGGCAAAACCTGAGTAAGAAAATAGTAACAATCTTCAATGATATTGTGAAAAGTCGAAAACCGAAGACTAAGAACTGGACGAAAAACCCTGAGGCAAGAAGGGTCCACCAACCTGGCCGCTAGAGTCACATTAGAAAAAAAAGTTCTATGCTACAGAATTAGGAACCAAGGAAAGTAAAACCAGAAAGCACTTAAAGCTTAGGTACAATGATCCATCTGGGCTAACTGGTTTGGTAGTTGAGGAGGGATTGGTATAAAGACCAGCTTGATGTGAGTATTGGGATCAGAATGAACCTCGTAAGGGCCAGGGGGTTCAGCGGTATAGCCTGCTCGTAAAGATTTAGAACCTATCTAGCGAATTTATCTGCAGAAAAAATTGACGGTGTGGCCTGCCCATAAAGGTATAGAACCTATTCAGCAAGACTTATTCAGAAAAGACTAGATAATACGGTAATAAGTAGATACCGTACTGCTCTAGCAGGCAATGCACTTAAGGATAAATCAGTTAACCATGCTGATAGTCCTATAGGTTGCTCATAATGATCTTGGAACTTGGACTGACTTATGTATCATATGTTCCAAGTAAGGTTAAATGAATTGGCATAGAAAACTCGGATCAGAGAGTTTAATTGGGTAATCTAAATAATAGTGCGTTACAGGTATAGCATCTACTTAAATTAGGCGCTCAAAAGGCGCAAATATGGCTAGAATGTACCCTTGTCAGAATGTACTTGTTTGGGGCCCCTTAATAAGAACACCACATGATTCTACAATCTAATAAAAGCAAAAAGCCAAAGAGGCTGACCTTGACTATAAAAAAAAAAAATAAAAAAAATAAAAAATAAAAAAAACAAAAAATAAAAAACCTTAGTTATATTTTTAAAAATACTTTAAAATAAAACTTATTAGTTATAGAGGCTAGCTTTGATTTAAAAAAATAATAAATATTAAAGCTTCTATAATTTAGCTTTGGTTTAAAAGTTTAAAAACTAAAATTTTGTAAATTAAACTTTAGGTTAAATTTAACTTGCTTAAAATCTAATTTTAAAAGTTAATTTTAAAATTTAAAATTTTGTAATTAAATTTTTGATTTTGATAATAATCAAATGATCTTACGTATTAAATAGTATATATATCAAAGTCACCAAATATAATTACATGCTCTTTTAAAATAGCCAATTTTTTGTAAAAAATTTTTCTTTACTAACCAATAGAGTTAATAAAATGTATTAATTATTTGACAAAATTCAATAAAATTATTTTTTTTATATACGTATTTTAAATTACGGTATTAATAAAACTCTACTCGATATATCGAGGCACGGCACAATATTTTTCTTTTCAGCGAACTTCATTAATAAGAATGATTTATACTTGCATTTAGTATAACGCAGATAATACAATTAGAAAACAGAGATGTCTGTAACAGATATTCTTGAATTATAGTGTTGTGTAGACGAGTATATTACTATTATGTAGCATGTATAATGAGGTTTAAACGAAGAAAATAAGATATAATATATCTGATTATAGAAACACTAGAAATTTTATTTTTGATATAATTTTTCTAATACGATGAATACATTCTCTTTAATATGTTTCACACCGGGTATTCATTGAAGAAAACTCCATTACTTTTTGCCCTAAAAAAGAAACATTTTAATGAAACATCTTAATGACAATTCATACAATATCAAATTACTAAATAAAATACCGGAATCAATTTGGTGAACATCAAATACACAGAGCCTGTCAAACCAACTCCAACCATACCAAAGTATAAGGATACAAAAGCCCTTCTGGCAGGACTTCCGCGAAGCCAAAGAGGTTGATTAACGTGAGCCTACAAGTTTACGTATAATATTAAACGTAGTATTAATGCATTCCTTCATCTAAGTCAAGTAACGTACTTGAAAATACTTTTGATTCTCTATAACTCTGTTGGGTTTTTCTAGAATCCCAGCCATTTGTTAACGGAAAAGATAGATGCACAAAATTATATTAAATCTTAATAACTAACGCTAAATCGTGCCTTTTTATAATTTTCTTAAAATAAAATCAACACGCTGATCAGTGATTGCAATGTAACACCGATTTCTGATTGAGAATTCCTTTTGCAACAGATTTATACAAGATCGGCGTCCAATTAAGTTCATTTATATAAATACGTCATTACATTACAAACACTCCACATCCTTCTAATATTAACGACTTCGCCAACTATCTCGAAGTCGCCTACAGATTTACCGTGTTAGTAAGGTAATTAATCGATATCAATGCTAAAATAATCACTGTTATTTTTATTATAAATAGCATAAGTTTTTAGCCATGAAGGGTCCTTTAATTAAAAAATGAAGAGAAGCATCGTTCCTTTTTCTCCGTATCTTTTTGAAAAGGTCAAAGACACTTTCTGTTCAAATTCTGTTGGTTTGCGAGTATCTTTTCGTAGAGTAATTAAAGGCTAATAGGGCTTCCAATATACCGAACTCTCACTCGTATATTTGTCAGATTACCAACTTATCTTTCACGATACATTAGTAACTTTGACTGTAGCGCACCATGTTTTTATTTATAAAAATTCCTTTGGAAGTTACAAAAATTCAATTTTTTTCATAATTAGTGGAAAAATTTTTTCTAGTAATATTTACACAAATAATAATATTATGCTTTATATACACACTAGACTTCTTTCCGGTTATAATAGTATCTTGCGCACTTTTCCAAGAATTTTGGACTAAAATCCATATATTTTATTCTTTCAGAATCACCAACTTTTATCATTCACTGACAAGTCACACTATATATAGGTATGTTAAAGATATGATTTAGAATGAAGAACGATTCAAGGTTTACGCGTCGTTTTTTCTCATACGACTTAAAATTCTAGTCCAATGTCGACAACCACATATTCCGACTACGACCCGGACTATCAACAAGTAATACTCCACATACGCGGTTTATGGGAGTTTGCAAATGTATCCCAATTCATGCATACCTATTATGATGCATTTGGATTGGATTCATTTGACACTGACGTAAGCTCGTTTTAAAATTCCTTCTGTTACTGATCATTTGTAGATTAGTAATTAATAGTTATGATAATATCCTTTAGGAGTTGGAGCGGAGTTTAGCCACCGATGATAATCTCCAAATTGAGGACTTAATTACGAAGATGCTACGAACACTATCACTCAATAAAAACATATCGTAAATATCCATTCAATTGATATTTTAAATCTTTATTGTTAGAATTTTCTCTTTTTTGATTTATTCTTGCTGAACGTTAAATAGTCAGGACAACTGGGAACAACATCTCTGTCAACAATATCAGAAATATGCGCCTGAAAAGAGCCCATTCGGCGATGAAGTATGTCCTATAAAATTTGAGGATATGTCTGTAAAACAGAAGGTATGCTATGACCTCATGTGACTTAAGTTATCGCTCATTAATGCTAACATTATTCGTATATAAAGGTCTTGATTTTACATGATCTTTGCCACTGGCAGATGCGGAATCCTGATAAATTTAGAAACTTCTTGTCAAATCAGGAAAACCCGCAAGAATGGGTATAAAATCAATCATTATTATGATTATACAAATCTTGTTGGATTTTAAATCTCCATCTTTAATGATAATAAATTTTGTTTACAACAGCGAGTCACTCCGGTTGGATTTGACTCAAAGGGCAACACTTACTGGCTTTTTGATGGTAAGTTTTGATTACTTATTAAGATTTTACGTTTTTATGAACGCATACAATTTATTTTTATTGTTATAGATAATCGGCTTTGCAAAGAATCACCAAAAAAGGAAGTGCCAAAAAAACAAAAAACCAAAATTAAAAATACTCGACGCAGTCGTGCGAAACATGTTTCCCCTGAAGTAAACGAGACCACTACCGAATCAACAAATTGGGAAACTGTAAGAGTTTTCCCTTTTATTATTCATTCAATATGGACATTATTATGTTGTAACGTTTTTAAATTAATAGGTTTGCGTCACAATTGCTGAGTGGGAAGAATTTCCAAAGCGATTCGAAAAATCAAGAAATGTGCGGGAAAAAAATTTTTATAAGCTGTTCATTGAAGACCTTTTGCCGAAGATATTGGCTGCATTGCAGGTAAGTATTTTTATGTGTCTACTTTGTTCCTAACTGAGAAATTAACAAGCCTTATGAATGTAGGAGAAGGAGAAAGAACGGAAGAAACTCGATGCCCTGGCTAACAGGAAGCGTAGTTCAAGAATTCAGAAAAGAGAACTCGAAAAACAAGAAGCTGATCGTGCTGCTCAACTTAAAAAAGATCAAGATGAGCAGGAGGAAAAAGCTAGGCAATTAGAATTTGCAAGACTTAAAGCTGAGAAGGTTAAATATATAATTGTTCGTTTATTTATTATTCAAAGGCTATTCACTTCATTGTCAATGTATTTACATATTGTAGGATAGAGAAGCAAGAAGTCAAGCACGTGAGCGCCGTTCAAAAGAAAGAGAGCTACGGTTGCAAGCTAGGGATGATAAATTAAAAAAAGAACAGGAATTGGTGATTGAACAACAGCGTGCCGTAAAAACCAAACGAATTAATGACATACAAGATCATCCAACACCACCGGACACGACGCTTCAAGCTAAAAATCAACAACTGGAAGATTGGTATTTCGATTGTTTATGTGGTGTTTCTGGCACAAACATTGTAAGTACTTAAACGTTTAAATTATAGTAAATTATAGTGAATAATGATAAAATTTTAACTGTTTCCTGTTTTATAGAATGATGGCAGTAATATGATTGCATGTGACCGATGTGCGGTGTGGCAGCATATCGATTGTCTTTTAAAGACTGATGAGAGATTCCGTAAAACGAGAGATTTTTCACAAATTGAATATGTTTGCGCGAGATGTTTACAGAGTCAGGCGATACAATCGAACACGCCTGCGAGTAATAATGAACATGATGAGATTATTGATGTTGTTAAAATTGATTCCAATGATATAATTCCCTCAATTCAACCAACCGAGAACGTTCTGCGATTAGATCAAACTGTGCAGGAAATGAATATTGACCCGACTAGTGCTAAACGTCCTCGGCATAAACAGGAAAATCAAGAAATTTCGGCTTTACCAATAAAAGAACGAAAGAGACCTGTTAAGAACACGAAAAAATCTTCTAATACTAATATTGAATATGAAGGCAAAAATATCGGAAATAACATGAAAACGACAAAAAAATCTACGAAAAGAGATGGTACCGAGAGAGCAACAAAGAGAAGAAAAAAAGGTAAATCATTTATATATGCCGTACCTCAGACTAACGCTTGCCTCAGATGTCGATCGGCTTAAGTTAGGTTAGGGAAGGATTAGGGTATAATTTAGGCCAATCGGTGTCGATCAGTTAATGCTGGCCAAAAATCGACATGAGACAAGCATTAGTCTGAGGCATAATATATGTATATATATTTAAAAAAAACCAAACCAAACCAAAAAAAAACTGCTTTGCTAAGTAAGTTAATAATGTTTAACAAATATGAACTAAATTCTTATTACTCTGATTAGATACTAGTCAAATTTTACCAACTCCTTCGGCGGTCGGCACCACTCCAGCGCCAAATTCACAATTATTATCATATATACAAACATCTAATTTCATTCTACCTTCAGCAAACATACAACCCGCGACAACAATAAATTACAGATATGCTGGTGGTTCTAACATGTATATGACTGACTATAGACCCACGTCGAGTAGTGTTTCGGCATCACTTCCAGCTAATACATCATACAGATCCTCACCGAATACAATTCCTGCTACGTCATTATCATATGGTCCTACTGACATATATTCAACAAATACATCGTATTCTTCAAGCTATTCTCGCAACGTAGACTCTTTCAATGGCGTTAATTCAACAAAAGACATAGGCGTAGCAACAAATACCATTCAGGAACATAATGAAGATAAAGCAGAAGACACTTTGATTTTACCACATAAAAAAGATATCATGAGTATTAGTAATTTAATCGAATAGGAAAATAAGTAGCCTTATGTACGCAATGTTGGTGTTTTTTTCTAGCTTAGCATAAACTAATAGAATCACATTAGAAACCCGTCACGTACTCATAGTAACATGATGCTTGCAAGGCGATGAATAATTATTCTTGAATTGCAAAGACATTGGACCAATCACGTGAAACTTAATACCGATGATAAAATTCAAAGTAACAATTACCGTTAATACAATCCGAAACTTCACTACCCTTTTCCCGATTTTAATGCCAATAACAATTTCCAATTTACAAAGTTTGGTACTCAAATGTCCAAAATTTTATTAAATTTGGGACCGTTGGGTGAATGAATTTTAATTCCTGAAGTAAAATTGAAGTAATGGCATTATTACGATAATTAAGAGTAGATTTATATATATATATATAAAGAGTCTAGAGTGCAATGAAGGTTAATCCAACTAAATACTATAGATATTATTTATTTCTGATAAACTTAATTATTATATCACGTCTTTATCAAGGATATTCTTGATCTGTATTTGTGTCAAAAGTTCAAATTCATCTCCTGCAGCTCGAAAGGGTCCTGCGAGTAATGTCGGAGATGGCTTTGTAGACAGTAGGATACTGAAAGCAAATCTTTAGGGTTCATTCTGCCATATTTCGGAACTAGTAAATGTTCGAATTTCTTTTAGATCTACAAGTAAAAATAATAATTATAATATTAAAAATAAACAATAAAAAAAAAGGCGTGGATGTTTTTAATTTTTCAATTATTGAAATTAATATTAATAAATCGATCTAATAAACGGAAGTGAAAATTGCGAAAAAAATTTTTTACATAGATTTTAAAAAATTCGGTATTACGTCACTCTTAACGAATAATAAATAAACAATTTCCGGAGGTTGATTAATTATGCATCGGATCATTAGATTTCCATTTAACCAAAATTATATACCATTAAAGTCGGAAGAATTGTACGAAAGTAACGCCCGATGATCAATTTTATAGTAAAATACATATAAAATCTTTTTAGGAAATTTTGTAAACCGATTTTTTTTTTTGGACACGGTAAAAATTCTACATCATAAAATATAAATGTCAATCATATAAAAATAAAAATTTTAACATTTCGGTTTTTTTTTTTTTTTTTTAATATTAATGGTGAGGACACTTCGGATTTTTACTGTCTTTACTAATAAATTTTGTTAAATTTAATTGTAAATTTTGTTATATTAAAATTTATATTTTTTTACAAAAATGATTTTTTATTTTACATTGCCTTTAAAATATAATAGTAATGCTATTAATAATTATAGAAGTTTTTTTAAAAAAAAATTTTTAATTTTATATTAATTTTGAAGTCAAATTTACAAATTTTATATGTTTTACATATAAAATTTTGAATAGTAAACTTTATAATTTTTAAAAAAATCAATCCAATTTGTTTAGCCTGATGAAACTCATATATTATAGAGTATAAATATTGAATTTACTAATTATATTCAAAAAATTTTTTTTAATAAAAAAATTTTGACTTTTATTTATTTATTTTTTTTTGTAATCAAGGTTAGCCTCTTTGGCTCATCGCTTTTATTAGATTATAGAATCATGTAGTGCCTTTTCAAGGGGACTCCAGACAAGTACATTCTGACAAAGGTACATTCTAGCCATATCTACGCCTTTTGAGCGCCTAATTAAGTAGTTATACTAAGTACTACACTAGATGCCATACCTATAACCCACTATTATTTGGATTATTCAATTAAACTCTCTGATCCGAGTTTTCTATGCCAATCCATCTAGTCTCACCCGGAACATGCGATACATTAGTCAGTCCAAGTTCCAAGATCGTCACAGACTACCTATAGGACTATCGGCTTTTTAACTGATTCATCCTCAAGTGCATCACCTGCTAGAGTAGTCCAGTACTCACTATTACTGTATTACCTAGTCTACTTCGATAACTTACGCCTAGGCTGAGACCAAGTACTTGCGAGCCGAAGCCACTACCGTTACCTACTCTGCTCTTGTAGAGTTCACCCAAACTCCGGTTCCTCCCCTTCAAGTCAACCCGGTACCTTCCCTTTCAGTACCCCCTAGCCGGTCTCTCTAGACTACCAATCCAGATGGCCCGGATGGGACACCTGTCTCTTGGTATCTGCACTGCAGATCCTTTTCCTCCGGCGATTCCGGCGGCCTGGTTGGTAAAGTACCTTCCCTCTGAATATCCAGTTCTCGTCCAGTTATGCTAGCCTCGGGTGAAGCCTATCCAGTAGCCACCGTTGAAGGTTTGTGCTACTTCTCTACTCGGGTCTTGCCAAGCGGGCATCTATCTTTCCGGTTCCCTGGGTTTATACGAACACGAGGTCTTATCTTAGGTTTGCACCGACTAATACCGACTTGTATGCCTTTGTGTAACTTATACATTGCACGAATGCCCCATAATCTCCCAATCTTGTTGGTGTCACCAAGGTTACAGAGATCCCGTTCCAACTGATCGTCAAAAGACAGTAGCCGTTGTACAAACAGAATATTTGAAATTTCACCATCGGTGGGTTTCGAACCCCTACCTGCCAACATACCGCTTGGGGGTGCAACAACTTAACCACTTCACTAAGTTGCCACATCCAAAATTTTGACTTTTATATATTCTATAAATTTTAATTTTTTCTATATTTTATTATAAAAAAACTATTGGGTGTTACTTTTGCTATCTTTTGTATATATATACAGTAGCAGACATTTGATTTGTTATATATAAAATTTTAATATATAAGTCAAATAATCAATATACCTAAATTTCATAAGTAAAAGTTAGACAAATTTTACTTTCTAGAATTATTTAATGATTAAAAAGTTGTTAGTTTAATTTTGAGAATTCTCTAACATTTGAAGGTTCTTCTTACAAAATTTCAAAACAGTTGAGAATAAAATAAAGAATATTCTGATTTACAAAGTTGGCCAATTTTTTTATAATTTTTACTATTTGTACTAAGTTTAGTAAGGGTAGTGACAGATATTATATAATATTCTAAGAGAAGAAGGGAGGATCTTTAATATCTTACGTTGATATATAAATTTATAATAATCAATTAAATTTCTTTTATATAAAAGAAAAGGGGTAGAAAATATAGTAAAAAATATTATATAATATTTGTCACTACCCTAACTCACTTATAAAAAATTTCACAAAATGTGATTTTTAGCCAATTAGATTGAAGGATTAGGTGTAATATAAAATTAAAACAATTAAATTAAATAAAAGATTTTAAAGTAATAAGCTTCTTATTTAAAGTTAGAAATAAAGCCAAAAAAGAATATAACTTATAGCAAAATTTTACAAAGAATTTTTTTTGTTAGAATACAAAAGGCAATTTTATAAGCAAAATTTTGAGTTATTAATAATTTTTTAAAAAATGTAATTTTACATTACATCTAATTTTTTTTATCTAATTGGCTAAATTCATGTATTAGAAAATTTTTGGTAAGTAAGCTATAGGAGTTGTTTGTATTAGTATGATCATATGAAATATGAAAGAGATAATTTTATTCAACTTTATAGGTATGGCTTATACAAATTTTAAAAAAATTTTATTTTAGAAGGAATAATAATTTTCATTTATCTATTTTAAGAAGGAGTTAAGATTTTTTTTTTTAATATTAAGGTGATCACTTGGAGATTTGATACATTTATTAACTTCGGTTGCGAATGCCAGGACAGCTACAGGACCACCTCTGACTTTGTTATATTAATGAGAGTACATTCTAGCCATATTTACGCCTTTTGAGCATCTAATTAAGTAGTTCCCTATTACTAAGTACTATACTAGATGCCGTACCTATAACCCACTATTACTTGAGTTACCCAATTAAACCCTCTAATCAACTTAGCACTGTCGGATATTCTCCCCAAAGAGAAACTGCCGCTAAGGCCACTTAGGACTAATTTATCCTCATAGTAAACCTACTAGAGCGGTTCATGTCCTACACATATATCACCTAGATTTTTGGTAACTTATACCTAGGCCAAAACCAAGTACTTGCAGTATTTCTCTACTATCGTTACCTACTTCTTGCCCTTGCAAAGTTCACCCAGAACCCAGCACACACTTTACAGACTAACACCGACTTTCCTTTACCAACAGTATCTCAAACTCTCAATTCAGATAGCCCGGGGAGGGACCAGTGGGCATCCCCTTGGTATTCCAATTGAATTCTTTTTCCTCATTTATATAGGGCTACTCCTGTATATTTGCAGTCTGGTTGGTATTGTTACAAAGTAGATTTTTAATATAAATTTTTATTAAATATTATTTAGTTATTTTTAATTATTATTATTCAAAATATTTATATTTTTATATAGTTAAAATATTAGATATATTTAGATAGAATATTATATAGCATTAATACTGTAATATAGAAACATTTTAATTGATGATTCTCCAGTCAACTGAAGAATGATCATAGTGAAATGTGACGTGGTTCTATATATAAATTACTATAGATGCGAAAGTAGAAATTTTCTAGTGATTGTTCAAAGAAATCTTTTTTTGTACTAAGTTAATCATATTTGAGTCTCTAATTAAAGTTGTAGAGCTCATCGAGACGAATCTAATAGTAGTTAAATCATCCAAATCAGCCTTGTGGATGCCAAGATATCTTTAAAAAACGTTTTACCAACTATATAAAATTCTTTAAGAACAATCCAAAGAATTTTATATAGATAGCAAAACGTTTTTCAAAGATATCTTG